GGGGGGGGGGAAGAGAGGAGAGACGAGTGTTGCAAGGAAACGAAATCATACGAATTTGGGAAAATAAAATGCCATGCAGACATAAATACCGTAGATCAACTAGAAGAGAAAGAAAGGCAGAATAATATTAATAAGGAATATCAAGGGACGTTGGGAAGAAGATAGAAGAAAATACAGGGAAGTGGACACAAAGTGGACATCGAAAAACGGCTTTCAGACTATCAGTGGAATGAAGTAAGATAATTCGGAAAAAGGCATGGACTGAGACGAAGGAACGAAGGATCGAGACAAGAAGGAAGAACAACGGATAATATCTGTTAATTTTGAGATAAGATAATAATAGCATATTTTGGAAAAAAGCCCAATCAAAATCGAAAAATCGAAAAATATCAGCACATATTCGGGATTATTAAAGTATTCTCTGTAGGAAGTTTTGTTACAATTGGTCTGAAGGTAAAATATTTACTGCAAACCAGAGGCTAATCTGGTCATCTGTGATATTGAATCTATCAGATAAATAAGGAGATACACACCAAGTGGGGTTCGAATTGGTAAAAATAAAATTCGTTAGATGAAGGACTGAACCAGTTCTATGGAGGTTTATGAGGCAATAAACCTGATTTGAGGATTTTATATGTGTCATAAATCTCAATAGACCGGGATCCAATAGTTATATTTAGATCAAGTTGATTTTAATATGCTTTATAACTTATAAAATATCACACAAGTGCAAATATAATACCATAGAAGGTGGCTGAGGATGTGACGTCATCAATACAACATAAACAGCTGTTTTGTATTGATTATAACGTTTAAACATTTCAATCGTCGGAAACTTCTCGAAATCAGTTGAGGAGAAACAATCTCAAATAGGACTACTTCCCGCACTTATATGGTGACGTAGTCATACGACAACTGGAAAGTTTATGGGAAAATAAATCCCAAACTCTTTAACAGGTATATATTGAGTCAAAAATGCAAATATAGAAAATTGACTCCCTTGGTCCAGCGATGTTTCATACCAAATCAGTATTTAAAGTGTAGCTTATGTTCCTTCAACGAAATAAGATTTGTATGCCAACCCCACCCCCACCCCCTACAATTGATGGTAGTATGTGTATTTACAAAACAAATTCTCGCGTTTTACTAAACTGTTTAAAGCTATGATACACAAAAGAACTTCGGCAAGTTTAACAAAGACTGGGGAATCAATAATGTCATCGATTTTTTTTTTTTTAAATTCGAAATTTTACTCTCTCCTTTATCCTAACCGTTAGCGCTCATGTTCGTTAGAATAACATTGATCACCACTAAAAAATCTAGTGTATGTACGTGTTTGTCGTATCTGGTTAAAGTAAGGTTTGGCCTCTCACATTAAACTCGATATACTAACTAGACTTTATCATGTATTATTGTGTAAAATGTGCATCGCCCGAGGGTTGATCCCACAGCTTTCAATACACACCTTATGCCACAGTGTTATTTGTCTGTCATATGTGAAACACGCACATTTATAATTAGAGTAACATTTGTCTGAAATATGTGAAACACGCACATTTATAATTAGAGTAACCTTTGTCTGTCATATGTGAAACACATCGACTTTTAAAATCAAATTAAGTTTTGTCTGGCATGTGAAAGACAAAGCCTTTTTTATTGAATATTTAAAACAACTAAGTTTCCGTACACACAATCTATCAAAATTAAAGCAGATTTCTTATTCAAGCGAAAAGGCTTCGCACACTCAGATCAGTATTTCTTCAGAATCAATTTGATGACCCTTTTGCAAATCTTCGATTTTTGGTGTTTTATTTCGTAATCGTATGTGTGTTTGATATTTCATTGATCTGATTTAGATTGATTCACTTATTTTCAAGTAAATGAAGATTGTATTAATTGTTGGATACATGGTTGAAGAAAAAAAAGGTATTTTGTTCTTTCCTTTCAATGTTCAAAATACATTTTTCAAACACGTTGATTGTGTAAGAATGTCATTTTCAATGTTTATCCTAAAAACTGGCAAATGAAGCTGAGAAAATTAGCAGCCGTAGAGAAATACAGTAATATTTTCCCTTTTGTTTAGTATTCGGCAGAGGCACGCAGGGGTTGCGTCCCCTGGCATGGTAAAATACCAGTTAAGAGTTGTTTGGTAAGAGTTATCTTTCTTGTGCTTACCAACCAATGCAACTGTAGCAACTACTATCCGTGATGATTTGTTAACACTACAAGGAGAAATGATATTCCCTACTTTTAGATTTTAATATTAAACTTCAAGGAGAATGTCATAGAGGTCCTTGCATTGAATATAGATGGAACGAA